CATCGCGATTGCACCTGTGCGGCTGCATCCCGCAGCATGCGTACCCGATCATCGACTGTCGCGTGGCGGACAACGCTTCTGCCTGGGGCGTTGACGGCCCACTCCCAGGACCCAGCTGGACGAATCGATGCGTCACCTTACTGATCGGACGGAGCGCAATGAGTATCAGACTACTCTGTCAAAGTAACAGTCCCCATGTACCCGACTACCTACCTGTCCCGCCGGCAGCCTTGCGTAGTAGGTGACCTCCGTACATTTACCCGCTTTACCCCTACAATAACTTTGGGCTGCACTGGATTTAATTAATGCTTGATACTCAAGTATCATCCAGAAGATCTCTAGAATAGATAGGTACAATGATGACATTATTCGGGACACTGTACCATGGAAGGCTATGCTACACTACCCAAACGGCAGTAGCATCCCGCGTACAGCACCGTTGATGTGGCGTGTCAGCAGGCCTTCACATCCCACCGCGCAAGAACGGGTGTCGTGCTTTTTGTGTTGGGCTAACGCCGCCAATTCAGCCTGTCCTTTTCTCTTTTAGTCCTCGCTAAAATCTCCGGCAGACATCTCTAGACCATCAGCGAATCCCTGGGACTGTTCACCGCTCATGCACATCCTTGATTCGATGCCTCGAAGACTGCGGCCCTCCAAGACCCGCTTCGTGGCTCGGCTGCATCACCAATCAAATAACCCACACCGGCTGCGGTGGGTCGGTTTCAGTATTGCTTTACAAACTGTCTCTCGACGAAAAACTTTCTGTCTGTTTGCGGGAGCTCTGCTTTACTCCATCCTGAGGTCTGGAGTTTGCCTTACCGAGCTTCAATACCTCCAGCTAGGTACGGAACCATGTTTGCAGCAACTAATGGGAGGTCTGTCTCATAGTAATCTGACCCCACGCTAGCTCTGGAGAGAACGTCAAACACTCCAAGGTTGACAGTGGATGCTGTCAGGAACGCCATATGTACCCTTTGCGTTTCTGGTTTGACACCTACTACTTTCGCGCTTGCTGTCGCGAGTCGTACTGGCGGCGCGCCACATTAACGACCTACTTGCCTCTAAACTCTTGACAACAGGTCTAGCCAATGACACATGTCTGCCGGTGTGTTTAGCCAGACTGAGAACAGCATGATAGGCCTGATGATTCCAAGTGGCGCACCGCCAACGTGGAAAGAAAGGGCATCCGCGAATCAGGATGATCATGATCCCCCGGCTCCCCGGAACCTGCTTCGTTGGGGAGTACGCGGGCGACACGGCGTCGGCAGCTAGGGTCCCAGGATCAGCCTGCTGTTAGTATTACAGTCGCACACTAATCCTCTCTAATGTGATATCCATGCTGCTACTATCAGGCCAAAAATGTCCCAGCCCAGTCTTTGACACATTCTCATCGTCGCCTTTCAGCAATTCCGTGCAAGCATCACTTGTATCGCAGCTTCAGTAGAGGTATATTTGATTGACCTTTGGCCAATACCTTATTATTTGAACGGTTTTCACAACGACTTGAACTTCTCGATTCACCCAAGTACAGGTCGCTGAGGCCAAACGATCAATCACAGCGTCTTCCGTTCGAAGAGCTTCCAAAAACGGTATTTTCAACTGCCAGATCGTTCGGCGACATCAACACTCGAAGCACCACACTTTTCTGGAAGTATACTAAGCCCTGTATATCTCAGTTCCGGCAATTGCTGTCTTTCGTCGTCCAAGTTTATCGAGGGACACTGTCAGTGTGGTGACCTGGATATCCCAATCCCGATCAGGACGTCATAATGAATAGTGAGTTTGCTTCTTCATTGTCAATTGGTCTCGTTAGGTTGTAGTATCGAATTTTGCGCGCAAAGAAGCCTTGACTTCGCTACAGCTTCCAGCATGCTGACCCCACCAGTGACACGACCTTTCAATACCGTCGAGCTCAAACAGCCCTGGTCTAGAGAGGCAATATTCGCGTTGGTCACCATCTTTGTCATGGTGCTGTTCTCTGGTATAGGCTTGGTATTCAAAAACCGCTTGAGAACTTCAAATTTGTGGATGCGGTACAGATCGCAAAGAAGAGACGTGGATGGTATGCATCAAACCACTACCTGGTTTGTTCAGCAATGCTGACGCTATGTAGAGGAAGAACTCGCAACATTCCGCGCTAGGTCGATGGCTTCCGGTTGGGTTGGCATCGAGGCCGTTCGGCGGTATCAGCAGGACACTTATACTTCGATACTCCGCACGAGGCGCGGACCACGGTTATTGCGAGCGTCGAGCCGAGTAAATGATAGGCGTGTGTGGTGATGTAGAACATCTGAGCAGGCGCAGGCCAGACGGTTAGGAATGGTAGAGTGTACGATCTATTGCTTAGGCTCGAGCCTCAACGGGTCGCTGTCAGTTGGAGTGCAGCGAGGCGTGAGGCGCGAGGCGATGATGATCATGTTCTTTTCTTTTTAGACGTTTTTAAACTCCAGTTGTGGTGTGCGTAGCTTACAATCGGATCTGTTGTTGTGACCCGTACGTCCTACCTGCTTAGATGTAAGACCATGAATGGGATGATAACCTTGGAACTTTTGCGGGTAACGCCGCGCTTTGCCGTTGCGACGTCTATGTCACATGTCGCTTCCTGTAGTCTCACAGATTGACTTAAGCATATAGGGCTGAACTCTCGAAATTCTTCTAGACTTGCTGATAAGGCTTAGAAGCTATTTACCTTAGCCGGCGTCTAGTACTCACGGTATACTGTTTGGCATGGACACGTCACCATCTGCATTGCCTCATCGACTCTAGTCAGCCGCAAGGCTCCGAAGACATTGCTTCTCGTGTTCAGCCTTGGTGCAAGACTAAACGCCATCGAATGCCATCGAACAAATACTGGTAGTAGGTTGTGGGTGCTGTGGCGGGCCGAACCCAAGAAGCGTTAAGCAAGAGAAGTCCGTGTCAAACTGGGAACCCTAGAACAAGCTCAAACTACATGTATGAGAATGCGTGAGAGCAGTCTAAGCGAGCGTGCCTAGAGGACGGTTAAGCGAGGAGGCCTTGCTATATCTCGATCAGCCTGCCAACTAGCTCGAGTCGATCGACCACTTAGAGCGTGAATCATCCAAAGTACCTCGCAACTGGCTACTAATGGCATCACCGGCATCACCGGCATACATAGCTGTGGCCGTTAATAGTACCGCCTCTACTACACTCTCACTACTTAATTGCGAAGTCAATCTCGACACTCACCCTAAGATTCGGGAGCCATTAGTTCACAAAATTCATACGCTTGAAGACATCGCCGCTCATTTATCGTTTTCATCACCACATTCTACGTTGCAGGGCACTCCAGGTGCAAAGACATGGCCACAAACTGTACGTATAATTTCTGCATACCTTTTGAGTTCTAGCTCATATTACCATGGGCTCCTCCTATATACAATTCTGGAGAGATGCTGTAACATGTAGCGTCGTCATACTGATCGATTCTAGTGACTCGGCTTACTACGGCCACTGAGAACAGCCAGCCATGGTCTCGAGAAGCCATATTCGCCCTCGTCACCTTGTTTGTCATGGTGTCTCTCTCTGCGGTAGGACTAGTGTGCAGGCGACATCTTGGGTTGTCCGGTCGTTGGGGGTCGTCAAAATGGCGCAGAATACTCATGGATGGTAAGTAGCACGCGATGGCTATCTGCTCAATGCAACGACTGATATAATGCGCAGATGAGGAGCTCGCAGCCATCCGTTCTAAATCGACCACATCGGATTGGGTTGACATCGCAGACGTTCGACGGTACCAGCAAGATGAATACACATCAATTCTACGGTTGAGACGGGGGCCCAGAATTTCACGGTCTTTCAGTCGAGTATACGGAGGGCGGTGGTAGAGACTCGGGTCGTGTCGAGCTGTTGATTGGCATAAGAGATGGTGATTTGAGGACTACAAGTACTGAATGCTGGCTTGTGCGAATTGAATGGCGTCTGGCAAGTAGCATGGGTAAAGTGTTGACGTTGGCTTGCGGACTACCCACATGAATCTTGGGGTTCTTGTGAAAGTCTGCCTAGGTAGTTTTGCCAGGCAGACATGACCTCTCCTCGTCAGGAGTCGGAGGAGAGGGCAGGCCCGAATATTGATGCTTTAAACTTTCGTATGGAAGTGACCCTAGAATCGTTAGATCTATCGAAATGTATGATTTAAATGCACAATAAGGCATATGTAATCTCATAGCGTTCACCTAGACGCACCGATCTTGTTTTCTTCAATCTCGCTGGTTAGAGGTTTTCGACCTTGCTGATGATCGGGTGAGGAAGTTTATGGCGCCAGCGTCCAATGTCCCAAGGTAACACGCCGCCTTCCGCATCGTGGTCGTTAATATCGTGCTCGTAATGGAAGATTTAATCACCCTGACTAGCTGCGCCAGACATTGTGAGGACGTGCCGGAGATGTTGTTGTAGCTCTACAAAGCTGATGATGAGCAATTTAGGCAGAATACAGAATAACAACCTTGGAAGGATGGGCCCACTCTAGCACGCTCGGGACCGTGCGTTCTGGCTAATCCGCTGACGTAGGAGGGGTCTTGTCAATCGCATCACCTCCAGGCCCGTACAATATAACAAGCAACGGGTGTCCTGCCGTCTCCATCAAAATAGAATGCCTAGATTTGACTGAACTGTAGGCACCGTACACCTCTACGAGGTAGCTGTTTAATTTCACCCCGTTTTGGGCTATTGATCCGCTGGAGCGCGTCCACATCCGCGCCACACCACGTCGTGTAGCGCAAAACTCCGAATGATCTTTGCTCCTTCCAACATATACACCTTTGGCATTGCATCCGCACGACGGCACTGACACGCCGCTGGTCTACCTAGGTACCTTCTTACAGCTGCTTCAGATCCGCAGCCACGAGCATGGCTATCCAAGCAGATGACAGTTAAACAGTAAGATAAGGTGGGATAATTTATACGTGTGCGACAGCTTTACAAAGGTTTTTAACTTTAAGCGATCCGGGCTTTACCAACACCATTCTCCGCATCTACTGACCCTACAAGATAGGCTCGAAAGGAGACTGCTTTGATTTCTTACCCCTCTTCTTGTTCTTCTTCTTTCCTTGTGCTCCAAGTGCTTCCAATTCTTCCAGATCAGCAAGTGCTCGCTCAGTCCCTTCTTCCGCTTGCGCAGCACCATTAGTCTTCGTCTCCCCATCGACAAGAGTCATCGAGGGCAGCTCGGCCTGCATCACCGAGTCTGAACGCACGTGAACGGGAGTTTTGGTCGTCTCTGAGACGGCATCACTAGTATTGACTGGTTCTGGCTTCCTGTTGCCCATTTGCTGGTACGTCTTTGAGGACTTGAAGTCCAGCTCGTCTGTGAAGGGCTCGAGCGTTGCTGGCTTTTCTACTGGTTGGGCGTCTTCGAGTTTTGGAGCGACTTCTTCAGTTGGCTTTGAAACGATTGCTTCATTTGCGACTGGTGCTTTCTCGACGACATCCTCTGAAGCAGGCGCTGACACCAGTTTCGTGGCAGTTTCTTTTGCGTCTTCCTGCTTTGGTAGCGCGGTGATAGGAACATTGGCTTCACCGCTGACCGGCTCATTCAGCTCCGGCACAAGCTCAGCCGTTGGAGTAGTGGCTTCTTCGTTACTGATGACTGGTGTGGCAGGTGCTCGGGCGTAGTTACTCATCACAGTCTTCCAGACGAGTTGCAGAAGCCTGCTGTTACCCTCCACCGTCGTAATGAAGTCCGGCTTACGGAACGGCTCCGGATCGTCTGCCATGGCATTGTTAAGCGACTGTTCGACATAGCTGGGATACCACAGATCATCCTCCGGTAGCAAAGGAAACGCATGGTCTCTCGCTACAGTGAGGATATCGAAGATGCTCATCTCTTCGTCGAGAGACTTTAGCTTGTTCTGGGCAAGCTCAGCGAGACCTGGTAGCTTGTAGCGAGCGGCAGCGCAGTATACACCGGCACCGAGTTTGTACACTTCGGGTATGACCTTATCGGATGATGCCAGTGTGTTGAGACTTTGGTATTTGCCGGTGTACAAGTAGTGTACCAGAGTGTGCGCTGTGTTCAGATCCAGCTCCGGGAGAAGTACGGACTGCTTCACGAAGGCCAGTGGATAGGACTTTGCGGCAAGAACCTCGCTACGGCTCAAGACGCTGTCGTGGACGAGGAAGCGAATTGCTTCTGGTCCAACTTCCAGTGAGACCATCTGTGTAGTTGCATAGGGGCTGCAAGAGACTATCAGCGCCATACTGAAACTCAGTGGTGATATGTAACTTACGAGACTTCTTCAGGACTGACTGCTAAGTCTCCCGTGCCATACGCATATCCGCCCAAACCATCATTGTCGTGCGACACGTCCAAGGTAGAGTTATCGCTAACAGACATATTGTGCTAACACCAAGATACGCCTGCTGATACCTGCGAGAATCCAGACGAAACACCTCCCTTTAACCCATCACGACAACTTCCCCCCAAATGAGGCTCAAAACACATGCGCTGTCACTTATTACAAGACGCGGGGTCTGTATGCACTCATGAGTTGTCAGTTCGACAGCATTCTCAGCCTTGTGGCTTCGGTGATCCCGTTGGTCAGCCTTCTCGTCCTTCACTGCACCCCGCGAATGATGCGTCCAATAGACCAAGACGGGTCGATGAGCTGAGCAAAACCGGTGAGATCGGGCGTAGATTTATCTAGAATTATCTTTGGTTGATGCGCTTAGACCCGATGGCTGGATGGGCGCGCTATCGCTGGTAGCCTGCGATCTAGACTGTTCGTCGGTGGCCGCGGATCTAAACGTTCCTCGTGTACCGGGAACTCGTCTCCGAATGAGATCGTAATTGGAGCAGGGTACTATGCGGGTGTCGAGGTAGAGTACATAGTCGAGGACAGTAGATGTTGGTGGAAGTTGCATTATCCTTCCCGGAAGGTCGACTCGTTGGAAGGAACGAAATGTCGACCCTTGCGAGGTTGTAGTCAGCCGCCACATCTCACCTTCCCTACGTGTGAGGCGCGGGGAAAAAAGAAGATGTCCTGGCGAGGACTAAGAAGGATATTTAGGTACGGATGGCATTACTATGAACGATCATCGAGATCTAGACATCGCATGTCGCGTTCTAGATATGACTAACGAAACGGAGGGTGAATTGAGTCCCAGGATAGGAAAGAGTCAACACCTCTGATCGCCGCGGCCGAGCGTGGATATTCGAAGGTTTTGTGTTCTACGGGAGACAATTGCCGTCGTATATGATGTAATTGCAGTCCACGCGCGGTCCCCGAGGACGCACAGTAGGAACGCACGGCGTGCCACTTTACCTAGACTGGCATAGCGCGACTGTGCCTCAGCCTCCGCCCACAAGTGCACCAACCGCTACCATACTTAGTTAAGTACGGCTGAACGTCATTTGCAATGTCAACCTCAGCTTCCTCAAACTCAGCCGCGTCTGGTATTAATCCACAGAATCAAGCTGCAATGTCGGAAATATACACAGTTCAAACCACGAACTCGACGTCGTCAAATCACACAAATACGCTGCATCTTCCAACAAGTCTTAGTTTCTGGATACTCAGCGTCGTCAGTGCCTACTGGCTTCTCGTTCGCACTCTCCGGTACAGGCGTCGCGATGGCCTCACTCACCGCTTGAATGTAAAAGCAATACTACCAACACTTCCAATCCCGCCAGGCTGACAAACAACCTAGTACCCCGACCGCTCATCATGGAGTCGCATGACTGTTAAAGATGCGCATTCAGTACACGTTTCTCTTACTGAACTCGAATTCCCAATCATTTTCCACACGTCCACATTCTTCGCCCTCTTCAAAACCTATGGCATCCCCAGTATTTCGAAGCTGCTTGTCGCAACAGGACAACTATCTTGCCCGGAAACAGCATCGAAACGAGCTGCTGATACTGCTACTATCATGACCGAGGCGATTATCAACAAACCTGATTCCGAACGCGCCATCAGTGGTATAGCGCGTATGAACTACCTTCATAGTCGGTATATCAAAGCCGGGAAGATATCAAACGACGATATGTTGTATACGCTCAGCCTCTTCGTTCTTGAGCCTATCAGGTGGACTGCCAGATACGAGTGGCGAACTGTGACGGACTTCGAGAGATGTGCCATGGGTGTATACTGGAAGGATATGGGTGAGGCGATGAAGATATCGTACGACACTCTACCTTCAGCAAGCCAAGGATGGATCGACGGATTCCATTGGCTCGAGGAGGTAGAAGCATGGAGTTTGGCATACGAGGCTCAGAACATGGTGCCTGCTGAGACAAACGCGACGCTTGGTCGTGGTACTTTCGATGTCGCCTTATTCAATGTACCTTCCGCTCTCAAGCCTTTCAGCTTTACCGTGGCACACATGTTACTCGAGCCGCGCTTGCGGAAAGCGATGAAGTGAGTTGAAGATAGAACTCTTACCCAATGAACTCACGATGCTGACCACCTCCAAGCATACCGCAACCCCCTGCCGTCTACTACCAATGTCTAGAAACATTGATCGAGATTCGCAAGTTCTTGCTCCGAAACTTCTTCCTCCCACGTCCGCACTTTCTACGCCCGGACTGGTTCACAGAAATCGACGAGCGCACTGGCCGCGCCAATGCTGGTCAATATATTGACCGGCCCTGGTACGTAAAGCCGTCCTTTATGAAGAGGTGGGGTCCAAACGCGTTGTTGCTGCGACTCGTTGGGGGTGTCGTGCCAGGTGACGAACGATATCACCCAGGAGGATATCGGATTCACGAACTTGGTCCTTCAGAGCTTGTGGGGAAGGGTGATGCCGAGATGCGGAATACGAGAGATGAGTTGAGAGCGAAAAGAATGGGGTGTGTGTTCTCTCGCTGATGGATCATGTCTGTTTGGCCAGACGTGAAGGCGAGTCCTACGGCGATAGACGAGCTCTCACAGCGCTTGCCGGAATCGAAGTGGATGGGAGCTCAGCGACAGAGGTGAATGCGAATGCGTCAGGTGGCGTTAGATTCCATTCGAGGTCCAGGTAAACATCTCTGCCATTGCCCTCCAGGGCGTGTCATTTTTAATCCTGAACACTAATAACACAACACTGTAAGGCTGCGGTCAAGCTTAACGAGGAAAGAGTTGTGGACCATATGTGACGCGTATCGCACGCGGTAGAAGATGAAGCGGAAGACATTGGAGAACAAAGAGAGGTGGAGGGGTCCACATCGGAATGGTTCCGCACCCGCATCCAATGGCGGAACCCCGCGTCCACCCCGCGGTGATACATATGGAGCAGTCGCTCTGTTATACTCCCGTCATTGTCCCAATCTCACTGTGTTGATTCCATCCAAATAAGAAAACAAAATGGCGACCACAAAAGTTGCACTCATCACCGCCAGCTCAGCAGGTCTGGGCGCGCAGATAGCACGCGTATTCGCACCAGACTTCCGCGTAGTATGTATACAAACCTACCGTCACATGTCCAGCATATACCGTGACCAAGAAGAGCAACTAACACACCCAGGTGATAAACTATTCCTCAAACTCCGACCGAGCCGCCACCCTCATGAAAGAGCTCTCCTCCATCCCCGGCCCCTCCTCCTCATGCACCCCCCGCTTCCACCTCATCCAAGCCGACATGTCCTCGAAGCCCTCCGTCCAAAACCTCGTCCAAGAAACCATCTCAACAATGGGCCGCCTCGACGTCGTCGTCTCAAACGCCGGCTGGACCCGCATGACCACCTTCACCGACATCGAACAGCAGATAAACGACGAAGACTGGGACAAGTGCTTCACTATGAACGTAAAAACACACATGTGGCTCGCCTACGCCGCAAAAGACGCCTTAGCCTCAACCGAAGGCACATTCATCTCCACAGCGAGCGTAGCGGGAGTCAAGCCCAGTGGGAGTAGCGTGCCGTATGCTGTTACGAAAGCGGCGCAGATACATCTTGCGAAGAGCTTGGCTGTTATTCTTGCGCCCAGGATTAGGGTGAATAGTATTAGTCCTGGTATGTTGCTTACGGAGTGGGGACTCAAGTTTCCGGAGAAGAAAAGGGAGGCGGCGATTCAGAATACTAAGTTGAAGAGGTTGGCTACGGTGGAGGATTGTGCGGAGCAGGTTAGGGTGTTGGCGCTTAGTAGGAGTATTACGGGGCAGAATATTTCGATTGATGGGGGGTCTTCTGTGTAGGGGAGGGTGTGGTTAGTTGGGCAGGGTTGGACTGGGCATGTTAAAGTGCACAAGGTACATTGCGCTGAGAACTTTCGGGGAGTCTATCTGTGACTGAGGGGAATGTCTTGTTCGTAGAGGAACATGCGTTCTCGGTGTTATGGATGCTTACAGTTTCAGGCTTGGAATTGTCAATTCCGGCGGTATTGTAAGCTGGCCGCATAGAGCTTCACTAGGAAAACCATATGCATGGCCGGTTAGAACAACGACTGTCTATTCTTGACGTTCTCATCTCTGCAGTGTTGCACAGAAACGGTGTCGCACAGAGCGGTGGAACAATCGTGAGCCTCGCATGTAGCATGTGTTACGTCGACACTCATTCGACTTGTGTGCGACGTATACGTTGTGCACTGTGTATATCTTCGGCGTGTTTGCTGTCGCTAGTCTGACGGATGAAGTTTGAGCAACCGCAAGCTTACTTCCGTTGCACAAGTTCATGAAGGATGCTGAACAGGGCGTGAGGTGTGCTCTGAAGACAGTTTTGAACGATGTAAAGTTTGGGGCTGTTCCCAGCCACGCCCAGGTACCGAGCAAATCGACCGATCCGTGTATTTCGAATGAACTAATTGTGACAGCATCGGTGGCGCACTCGCAGCGCCGTCTGCCACAGGTCGCCGTCTCTAGTCGAACTCCCGTCCCGCCAACAGTATTGCCCAGCATGGTAGTGAAGAGGCACACGTCAATGAAGGAACAGAAAGAGTAGCCAAGCTGACTCGCTCTTACACCAAGCAGGACATCCACTATAGAGTCAGCAAGACAAGCCCGTCGGAGAATTGATAGGGCGCGATGCACCAATGATCCGCTCCTAGGTTACTCCAAACGCGTAGTCAGGGCTCCGGCTTCGGAGCGCAACCATTGGCCCGGCGGGTTTTCGCATCCTACGAAACGTGCTTGAATTGCACAACATGCGATACGTCGAGATAAACAAGTACAATCCCACCCGTCAATAAAGATCGCGCGGAATGCCAATCAAGGATGCGAAATATGTGGAAAGTGGCTGGTCGCGTGCGAGCCAACGATGCTGCTGTGTCCAATTCCAGTTTCCCCACGCCAGACGTGTGCCACAGTACCTAGGTATCGACCTCTCCACGAGCCCACCACGGCGGCCTTGAGACCCACCGCCTCGCTTCTGGGGACACTCACATGCTTTCGCGACAGTTTGCCGCCAAGGGTTGCCGGACGGGTACGGGAGGCTGACATGCAGCTGAGCCCTACTGCATGCCACGCCGCACGGGTCGTGGTGCAAAAGAACACAACGGCTCCAGCTGGTCAGGCCAGTTGATGTTGTTTCGTGTCAGCGCGTAGATGCAAAGAAAGACGAAGGTTTGATTACTTCTGAGATGCCTCCCACTCTCAGAGTAAGCTGCTGGCAGGCGTATCCAGGTCGAGCTCGCCTCAGAGTATGCGGACACGGCCATCGGGAACCAGGGTCTCACAATCTTCGCGCTCCGGCATGTTGCCTGGCTCGTTGGAAATAACTCTGAGCTGGTTCGAAAATAGTCCCAGTTTGGGCGTTTGACGAGGTTAGCTGCTGCCCTTGTGGAGACTCGTTACTGGATGCGTAAGATACGGTACGACAGTGGCTGCGGTCAATTGAAGAACCACAGACGATGGCCGGTCGGACGGGTGTCTCGATCTGCTCAACCACAGCCGGATTTTGCACGCCGCGGGCCTTCTGCAGGGCGTGCGCTCAGTAGCGCCGTGTCGCAACGGCAAGACCAAAAAACCCAAAAGATTGGGTGTCGAATCGTCGTTGGGCGCCCGATGTTCGCCCGACTGCGGTGCCTCGATGTCGCGAGACCTGGGGTGAGATGCACTAGACACGAGGAGGATGCGAGCAAACCGCCATGGTCGTCTTATCGCACACAACGTACGTGAATCGCATAAACACATGGCCAGGGACGGGGTGGCGTTGGTGAGAACGCGTCGCGACGGCCGGCGAAGATGCGGCACCCAAACCGGCTAGCGCGTTCGATCTTCAAGGCGGCAGCTGATTGGGCAACGTGGTTCTCTTATCTCTGGCCAGAAATGCAATTGACACACGCAACCTGGACCACCCACTCGCCAAGCCTTCCGCCCCGGATGAAACTGGCGTTGCCTGCAATCGTTATGCGAATTCGTGTTGAGCCCGTGGTGAGAGGCGCCGCGCGAGGCCTGTCCTTACAAGCTGACGCGACGTGGCCGCCGGTGTGGGTGGGCGTTGCGCCTTATCACGTCTACTTCGCCGTCACATGTTTGCAGAGCAGCGAGCCGGCGAGATAAGGCGTTAGATCGTTAGAGACAGCAATGACGCAGCTCCGATCAATCGCGGCAGAAAAAGAACAAAGCTCCATGGCTGGATCTAACGCGAACCCCACGACGGTCGCGGCTGTGGGTGATGTACCCTCGTCTATTTTGCCTCGAGTGATGGCCCGTGGACCAGGATAGATAAGAGTAGTACAGCAAGTTCCACCCATAAAGGTCCCGGCGCATCTACCGTAATCTACAGTAGGGCTTCCGGAATCTCCCTGTAGCAGCTTATATTACTGGCACCGATCCAGCTTTTGATCCCTTCTCTTTTCTTCCACAGGCCCTACCGTGGAACCGTCCTCCCTTTCCCCATAGTACTTAAGGACCCCAGATCTCCTTAGTACCCCGACAATCCCCTAGGACTTCCCTCACCATGTCGTACTCGTGGGTCGGCCCTCCGGCGCAGTTCAATGGCACCGATGATATCACTGGTGGTGACTCTGGTGAGTACAAGCCCCAAAGTACCATTGCGCACGTGCCGAGCGCAACATCCGCATCGTGTGCGACAGAAGGCTAACATGAACATCAGTCACCGAGAACTTGAACCAATGGTTCTCTGCGGGTGACCAGGCCTACATCCTCGTGGCTTCGGCCATGGTGATGATCATGGTTCCTGGTCTCGCATTCCTCTACTCCGGTCTTGCTCGCAGAAAGTCCGCCCTCTCCCTCATCTGGGCCTGCATGTTCTCCGCCTCCGTCATTACCTTCCAATGGTACTTCTGGGGATACTCGCTCGCTTTCGGACCCTCAACGAACGGTTTCATCGGAAACCTCGACAAGTTCGGTCTCAAGGGCGTTCTGGCTCATCCCAGCCCCGGTAGTCCTTTGATCCCAGAGTTGCTGTACTCCTTCTACCAGGTACGAAAACCATTACTATGAACCGGTTTCGACGAACTAACACAATCCAGATGCAATTCTGCGCTGTCACTGCTGCCATCGTCGTCGGTTGCGTTGCTGAGCGCGGTCGCTTAATCCCCATGATGGTCTTCATCTGGCTCTGGGCCACGATCGTATACTGCCCCGTCGCATACTGGGCCTGGAACGCAAACGGCTGGTTCTTCGCATGGGGTGGACTTGACTACGCCGGTGGTGGTCCCGTCGAGATTGTCTCCGGTTGCACAGCTCTCGCCTACTCCATGATCCTCGGACGTCGCCAGGAGAAGATGATGCTCAACTTCCGCCCTCACAACGTCTCCTTGATCACCCTCGGAACCGTCTTCCTGTGGTTCGGCTGGTTGGGCTTCAACGGTGGTTCCGCTTTCGGCGCCAACCTCCGTGCTGTCATGGCATGCTGGAACAGCAACCTTACCGCCATGTTCGCCGCCATGACTTGGGTTCTCCTCGATTGGCGCCTTGCTCGCAAGTGGTCCATGGTCGGATGGTGCTCAGGTGTCATCTCCGGACTTGTCGCTGCTACTCCCGCTTCTGGTTTCTTGCCTCCATGGGCCAGCGTCATCCTCGGTATTACCACCGGTATTGTTGCTAACTTTGCCACCAAGAGTATGTACCCCTCTGGAAAACCTTTCATGAACAGCTCGCTAACACCTATCTAGTCAAGTTCTGGATCAAGATCGACGATTCTCTCGATGTGTTCGCTGAGCACGGCGTCGCTGGAATGTGGGGTCTTTTCTTCAACGGAATCTTCGGTGCCGACTACATCATCGGACTCGACGGAGTCAACAACGGCCTTACCGCTGGTGCCATCACCGGCGAGCCCGCCGCGATCTACAAGCAAATCGCCTACATCGTCGCCGTAACCGCCTACTCCTTCGTCGTCAGCGCCATCCTCGCCTTCGTCATCGACAAGATCCCCGGCCTCAAGCTGCGCGCATCTGAAGAAGCCGAGCTCCTCGGTATGGACGACGACCAGCTCGGCGAGTTCGCCTACGACTACGTCGAGGTCCGCCGTGACTACCTCGCATGGACTCCTGCTAAGGGCGAGCCCATCGACGGCGAGCACTCTGTACCCCAAGGCGAGCGCCACGGCATCCCCCAGCACAGCCAGATGCTCGAGGGCAAGGCACCATCGGAACACAGCTCAGGCCACGAGCACACGGGCATTGCGGGCGACAGGCACGCGATGGCCATGGGCTCCGAGCACGAGAAGCAGGTTCAAACCTAAGGGCTTTTCTCTTTGCTGCTGCGCATTGCTGATTTGGATTTGTTGCTTGCGACTTTTTTGAGTCATTACCCGTTTCGAGATACCACCTTGCGCTGCTCCTCCTGCGTCTTTGAGCTGTGCTTTTTGACACATACATTTAGATGATTGTATTACAGTTTTTTCTTTTCCTCATGTATTGTACATAATTCGAGAATGGATACATCAAACATCATTATCGCCCCCATCTGGCAATTCCCCATGTGTATTCCAAATCACTTCAAACTCGCCCATAACCTATATCAACACATTCCACATCACCGACACGCGCCCAGCCTTTCTTATCATGCTAAGCACGATCGACTCCCCCCATTCGACGAATAGAATTGACTACACAACGACGCCAAGCCTACTCTCCTCACTTCCTTATCTTTTCCCGCTCCTCCAGACTGTGAACCCCAG